ATTGGGCCAATTGGGTAATTTTTATTTGGGAATGATAGTTGTAAGCAAACGGATCTTATTTTCCTTAGGGCCTTCACGGCCTTTATTTATAATCAAAGCTTCGGTATTACAATCAGTGGTATAAATGCCATTAATAAATGTAAATTAATAAGGAGCATTAGTTTATTTTTAAACAATACAAAATGAAGAATAACATCCTTATTTTCCATAAGCTGGTAGATCTCCGGCTATATGAGGGCCTGAAAGGCCCTAATGTGAGCCATTTGCTAGGAAAATCACCGTTTGAAATCAAGTACCAAACAGTGATTTTCCTAGTAAATGACTCATGTTCCAAAAATAAATATATAGTAACTTATTTACTTTTTAAATTGGTTTCTTATTCATTGATTTAGTCGGTGATGATCTTAATAGGTGTTTTTGAAATAAGCTATTTCTTTATATTTATATTAAATTATTCTAAGTATAGTCTAAAATATTAACAAAAAATTTTTGCTGCTCCTTAAGTTATTCTATTCTATCTGCCACATCTCATTAAGTCACTTATTTAGGTTAATTTAACCGGAAAGTATTTATTTTCTTGATTAATATATGGGTTGATTATGTTAATTACCTAGTCACTAAAATGTTTATCTTCTCAATAATGAACTTGCTACTCTTGAAAGTACATTTTCTGTGAAATACACCAAATATATATTTTAAAAAAGTAATAATTAATTATCTTAAAGTAATCATTACATTGTTTATAAAAAATGAATGTATTGAGCCAAGCCGTTTTTTTAGGCAATATTTTACGTATTAGTGAGCTTTTGGCTGAGCTGTTAATGGCTCAGTTTAGCCATATAGCTTGCAGCTCGTCTCAAGCTATTTACATCACTATTGTACAGTGCTTGCTCTGTGTCATGATCCTAATTGAGAGGAGGACTTATAACCTTACACAAGAATTTAGTTATCGAGATAATGAGTCAACATATAAACAAGATTGGCACAAACAATGAAATTTATACTGGCAAAAAGAGAAAATATAATGACTTTATAGTATTGTACTGTAGCAATATGATAATGAAGTTTGATTAAAAATCCTAAATATTAAATATTTTTAAATACAAACAAGAATTCTAAAATTGTACTAGATTTTGTCAACATTAATTTAAGCTTTAAACGTCTATTGTCTAAATTCTGTTATTGTGATAAAATACCTTTTTATTAGAATTCAAGAAGGTTAAAAGAAATTTTATAAGGATTCTCTTTTTTTTATAAAAATTATTCAAAAACCATGATCAAACTACTTTTTAGCAACGTTTCTCCATCAGGGAGTACATTTTTACATAGATTTATGTGAAACTTTTACGTAAAGTTATGTAGAATTTTTATTAAACTTATAAAACTTTATAAACCCAATGTAGTACTTAGTTATTTATATAAATCTATATATAGATTTCTATATAGATTTATGTAAAATTGCAAAAATTTTAACTTGAATATTAAGTTAGGATTAGGTTTTAAAGTTTTAAATTAGGGTTTGGGAAGGTTTTCGGGCATGCTGAATATTTTTACTTAATATATCGAACTGATTATCTTAGTCACTTTTGAGAAATAGCTAAAGTAAATTAAATTATTTATGTAGATATATAAAGTTTACATAAATTTTATATTTATATAAGTAATAAATAAACCAAACATAAATATTATATCAAATTATATCTAAAAATTTTAACTATATAAGTCTACATTAGGTTTGTAAATCTATATAAAAATTTTATATAACATTTATATAACTTTATAGAACTACATAAGTTTTATAAAAAAATGTATTTGCTAATGTGATGATAGATAAGGTCCTTAAAGATAGCGAACAAAGTTTTTTTTAATAAAATCATCTAACCGAGCAATAATAATGGTTAAAAATCTGAATCTAAGTTATTCTAATTAGCTTAAATTTAAAATCTGCATTTCACAAATTTTTATTAAAATTTTTATAAAAATCATCAAAATGATTAATAGAGCATCCCAATCACTAACAAATTATATCGAAGAACTGCATGATAATATCCTTCAGCAGATCAATTATTCAAGAAATGTTGGAATGTGCAGGTACATGAGCTGAAGTTAGTTTAAGGGAGGGTCAGAAAATATGTTTTCTTTTGGGGGAGGGGTCTTTTTAAAAAACATGTCTATATATAGAAAAATAGAGAAGATAAGAAACTTAGGGGGGAGGAGGGTAATTTTGTCAAAATAAAAACACGTGTTTTCTGGCCCTCCCCTTATGTGACTTATTTGCGATAAGACTTTGTTCATATCTGCTATTTCGATTAGTGTGTAGGCCTTACCCGGGTCACCCACGGGTGAGCATGTGACCTGTATGAAATTATAGCCACCCGTGTGGGCCAACCCGCAGGTCAAGGTTGGGCTGGACATTGAACATGGACATTGGACAACCCTTGTCCAGTCCAGTCCAATCCATTGGACCAAAAAGTATTGGACATTGGACATTGTGTAATATATAAATCATGCAACAAATAGCCAATCAAAAATCTTCACATTATTACACCAAAGAAAGTCATGATCACGTGATGAAGGTAATTTTTATAAAAGTTCGTTAAGCTTAAGGTTAGCATTTATATTAGGGCTAGAAATTAGTGAAATATGTATAGAAAAATCATCCAAGGAAAGCTTTTTGTTAGGCCATATTTTTACCAAAGATTTTTTTATATTTTTTAAAATTATTGAACATATTGGACTGGACATATGTCCAAGTATTATGTCCAATGTCCAGTCCAGTCCAATAGCATAAAAATGGTTGGACATATGTCCAGTGCCAACACTGCCGCGGGTTACCCGTTGGTTGACCCACGGGTCATATAGCATGACGGCAGATTCTCGAGTTTTACTGGCTAACGGCTATGATCTGCAAAATTGGTTACTAATTTCCGGCTAGAATTAACTTTGATTTTTTCATTACAAAAATAGCAATTTTTAAAAAATAAGCCCACACTATGGTAAAATTGGCCCAGGAACAATTTTCACTTAATAGGCGGCTGCGATTTGTGTATCAAAATTTTGGAATCGGAAAATTAAATTAGTGTTTAGAGACTTCATTTGACAAATAAGCAAATTATTTAATAACAAAATACAGAGTAATAATAAAGTTTTTTGCTCAAATTACTTACTGAACTTTCGCTCAAATTACTTATTAAACCTTTGCTCAAATTATTTTTTATATACAGTAACTTACTGAACCTTCGCTCAAATTATTTACTGAACCTTCGCTCAATTTATTTATTGAATCTTCGCTCAAATTATTTATTGAACCTTTGCTCAAATTACTTACTGAACCTTCGCTTAAGGTATTTTTTTTATATAACTTACTAAACCTTCACTCAAGTTATTTACTGAGCCTTCGTTCAAATTACTTATTAAACCTTTCTCAAATTATTTTTTTATAATCTTCGCTCAAATTATTTATTGAACCTTTGCTCAAATTATTTTTTTATAACCTTCGCTCAAATTATTTATTGAACCTTCACTCAAATTACTTACTGAACCTTCACTTAAGGTATTTTTTATATAGCTTACTAAACCTTCGCTCAAATTACCTATTGAACTTTACTCAAATTTTTTACTGAACCTTTGCTCAAATTACTTATTAAACCTTCACCTAAGGTATTTTTTATATAACTTACTAAACCTTCGTTCAAATTATTTTTTTATATTACTTACTGAACTTTTGCTTAAATTATTTTTTATAACTTATTAAACTTTCGCGTAGATTTTTTTATATAGCTTACTTGAAAAAAATCGTTAGATTTAATTGTTCTTTCACGTATAGATAGTAAGATATCAATCCAGTTCTATGGCTTGTATTAATTCGCGTCAATTCCTTTATCTAGAACTTTGGTAACAGCCTTATTTGTGCTAGTTGAGTATTCGTTCATAAGTGTTTAATTTGACGTTGTCGATTTGAAATTTTAGGTATGTTAAGCATAAAACGGTATCAATTAACAATTTATAATAAGGAAGATTATTAATTAAAAAATAAATAGGATTTGTACATTACTTATTTGTTAAATAGATTCGTCTTTGTATTATTAGTTATCACTTCTACAACGTACGTATGTACATAACAAGCATATCAAGATTTTGGATTACACCCTGACCCACCCGCGGGTGACCCGTGGCAGAATTTTTTCTATCATTGGGACTCACCCGGGTAAGAACACTAGTTTGATAACTCATAACAAATTATAAAATTTTGTTCACATGTACTAAGCAGCTTTCAATAACTCATATAATAAATGTAACTGGATAATAGTATGCCCGGGTGATTATCTGTTGTTCTGCTGTTTCGATAACTCATAACAAATCATAAAATTTTGTTCACATGTACTATGCAGCTTTCAATAACTCATATAATATATGTAGCTGGATAATAGTATGCCCGGGTGATTATCTGTTGTTAAAGGTGCAACGGTCCAAAAGGAAGGTTTTATTTATTGTTTATGAAAAGACATTTTCATAATAGTCTTTGCTGCCACACCGTCATAAGATTTTGTGGTATCATGTATAATACTCCAGTCTGTGTAGATTGCCAGGTGAGCGAATCTCAGAGAATATTCTACAACTAGTTTAGTTTTCATATCAAACATGAGAAATGCCCCATGGTTGCTGTTAAATTTAAATCAATGAGTTAACACACCAAACTTATATGCAAAAAAATAAAATAAAACTTTTTTAATTTGCTCACAAGCTTACATGCAAATATAACTTTAAGTATATTTTCTTTGACATTTTGTGACTAAACATCAAGTATTTTAAAAGGATCTTAAGCTAAAGTTGTTCAATTCTTCTTGTTTTTCAAGCAAGTAATTGATCATTTAAATAATGACTAAAAGAATTCCTTGAAGATCATTTTTACATTCTCTTATAGTCAAACTTTGTTCCATTTGTAGTGGAACTATTGCAACTTCGTGTACCCTAATAATTTAAATAATTTTAATATATCGCTAAGGTGCTTCAAAACGCTCTGACAAATTTTTTTCGCCTGCTGAAATTAATTGTGGCAGCTGAGGCTGAAATACAGTATAACCTCGATATAACGAACCTCGGTATAACGATAACGAAGTTTATTTCTAATTTTTATGCTTAAATTAGCCCTGATATAACGAAAACTACTAATAAAGTTTTGATATAACGAAGCAAAACCCAGCACCAGAGCTTCGTTATATCGAGGTTATACTGTATAAAGTATTTTATTAAATTTACTAATTCTACTAAAATTCACTTATACTCTTTTATTAATAACTGCTAACCTAATTTTTTTTAAAAAACTAAAAAATTATACCAAAAAATTTTAAATTTAATACAGTATAAAAATGTGCTTAATCTCACAAGAATATTTATTAACTAATCTAATTGGTTTAATTTTATTTTCTAATATTTGATTAAAAAATTAACTTTAAACTAACTTTGTAGAGCACTAAAGCTTATAAAAATTTTTGAACTAAATACTGTACAACAATATACTGTATAAAATTAGAGAGGTATTACAATTAGGGGTTGAATTTAGGAGGCCTGATCGTACGTTATAAATTTAATAAAAATTGGTAATGTATTTAAAGTTTTATTGGTATATACAGTTAAATCTCAATTATGTCTTCATTATTTAACAAAATAAATACTATATATTTGTTAAATAACTTAATTAGTAAATTATTTTGTTTTATACCGCTCAAATAGCTTTTATTTTCTTTACAATTCTTAAAAATTTGTAAGTATAAATGTATTATATGAAGCTGCAAAACATATGAAATGACATCTAATAAAATACACGGATTCGGATACATATTTTAACTGTCCATACAACCATACACATCATTGCATTCCGTCTTGCCATATAGTAAAATATAAGTAATTTTTTAAGAAAGCTATTCAAATAAATATATATCAATATATTCATATGATGTGGAGCAGCGTTGTCATATAGATATTTAGCCGGCCAACGACCAAATTTTTTAAAAAAATTTTTACTGGAAATGGCCAAAAGTTTATATAATAAAAATTAGTAATATGATTGGCTAATATTACATAAATTAGAAATTTTTGGCCGGAGTTTGGCTATTGGTCATTGGCTGGTTAGTTATTTACTGGCCCCAAAAAATTGGTTAGCCGAAAAATTGCTAACGCTGATGTAGAGTATACAGAAAAATTGATAAACATTGTATGTAGCAGCTTTAATTTTACTCGACTAAGTCAGCTTGGTCATATAAAGAATGTTAACTATGATTATTAATGAAGCATTTCTCGATATCGATAGTTATCTTGTTCTTTATTTGATTTTTTTGATCTAGTTAAAGTATGCCATCATGAAATTTTGGATTTTTGTTTTTCATTTTCCAATTCTTGGTTTCTTTCTAATTCTTGATTCTTTCTTTCTAATTCTTGGTCCTTTCTTTCTAATTCTTGGTTCATTTTTTCTAGTACTTTATTCCTTCTCTCTATTACTTGATTCTTTGTTTCTAATTCTTGATCTTTTCTTTCTAATTCTTGGTTCCTTATTTCTAATCTTAGGTTCGCTCTTTCTTTATCTTCATTTATTCTTTCTAATTCAGAAAAATTTTCCTTCAATACACCGTAAGTTTTTTGCAACGTCTTATATTTGCTTCGCATCTCTTGTAATTCCTTGTTCACATTTATCATTTCACATATATCCCTTTGTAATTCTCCATATTTTCCTTCAAGCTCTTTGTATTTATTTATGGGTACCATTGTATGACTCTGTGAACCAGCTGTTTTAACTTTCCTGAATGCATCACTTGTATTATCTTGATGATTTGAGAAAATTTCTACATTCTGAGATGACATTTCAATAGAATATTGTCGACTCAATGTTTCGCTAATAAGTTGTTTCAGATTGCCGAGAATTACTTTTGTTTCTGGGCGATTGGCCGGATCGTTGTCCCAACATTTTTTGTAAAGTTCAATATATTGAGATGGTGTACCTTCTATAGGTTCTTCTCTCTTCTCTTGGGAGATAAGAACAATAATAATTTCGTTTGCAAAGTGTTGAAATGGTGGCCTTCCACTCGAAATTTCCCAAAGGATTACTCCAAAGCTATAAACATCTGATCTCTTGTCACGTCGATATTCTTGCTTAAAAAGACACTGAGGCTCAAAATATGCTGGCATTCCACGAATAATTGAGTTTGAAGGCACAAATGTCTCGTTTATCTGTTTCGATAGCCCAAAATCTGCAATCTTCGGTTGTCTTTGATGAATTAAGATGTTCTTCGAATGCTTTATATAAAATATTAGCTGATGTAACTAAATTCGTAACCATATAATATGAAAATAATATGCTTACAAGATCTCTATGTATAATATTATTATTGTACAAGAACAAAAGACCATGTATTATTTCCTTAGAAATATGCAATTTATCTCTCCATTGAAGACTTGTAAAATTTGCATTTAGATATTCTCGTAAATTTCCGTCAGCAGCATATTGCAAAACCATATGATAATATCCGTTGTTGTCTATTAATTTTATAATTAATATAAATTAAAATATCTGTTACATTATATTTAGAAAAAAAGATTATATCTGATATACCTTAAGCAATCCCATAGAATTTAATAATATTTGGATGACAATCAACTCTTCGTAATAGCTTAAGCTTTATTAAATGATTATAGAAATTTAGTATTATATAAAAAAGTAATTCAAGCCCTAATATAATAAATACCTCATTAACGAAATCTTTAATAAAATTTTCATCTAAACTTAAATCGGCATCGACTTTAAGACATTTAAGAGCAACTTTTAATTCACAATCTTTCCACTCATATTTAGATACCTTTCCAAAAGCTCCAACACCAATCATTTCAGGGTCTGTAAATTGATTAAAATCAAGGTTATTTATATGCCCATCGGAAATAGCTTTTTCAAGCCATTTTTCAGGAATGTTTGTCATGACTTTATTTCTTGGTCAAAAAATTATAGTAGGGATTTATAATTAAACTAATTTAGAATAGGAGTACTTGATTTATAAAATATTATCATCAAAATGAAAAAAGATACAATTTATAGACACTTATTTGAAACTAAACGAGGAACAGTTGAGTAGAATAGCAAGTGAAACTAAATTTCCACCAGTCATCAACCACTAAGCAGCATTGGTAACACTGGTGGCACTAAAAACCAGTAATGCGGTAGGATCGTCCCAATGATGCTACGGCTTAAGCCGTAACTAGCTAAAGCTTATGTCGTGACTAATTACGGGACGATTCTATCACATCACTACCAAAAATACTCCACCTTACACCGTCAAACCTTACATAAATATGTCGATTTTTTAATTATTATCTCGAACTTCTTGATGATAAAGAAGATTTTAGTATAATTACTAATATCAGCAAACTAGACATCACTAAGATATTCAAAGCACATTTAATCATTTTAAAATATAGTTTGTTATACTTCCATAATAAGAATAGAATTTTGTGCAGTATGTATAAAATGAGTAATTAAAGATTTTAAATTGCCATTCAATAGGCGTCGGGCAACAGAATCTCATGATTTACAGACAAGTATGTCCGTGAAATTATATGGATAAGTTGAATGGTATTAATAGATAGATATTCCAACGTTTGAGGAATATGTGAATTAAGACATGTAATGTTGTAGTGAATTTATTAATATTGGTCAAGAAGAGTAAAAGCATGGTTTATAGTAATAAGCACAGGAGTTAAAGTCAATTTAAAACAGCAAATAAACTCGATGAGTAAAGTTTAAGTACGCATTTTATTATCTCTTGATTAGTTTTAATTTGGTTAGCATACGTATGATACGTGAGATAAAATTTTGTCGATCGATTAATTTTTATACAGTACAGTAGTAGTAATAGAAAAGGGGCTTTGAAAGAGTCGATACATTAGTAATACGTATTATTTAAATTTTTGTTCTCTGACTAAGATGAACTAATTGTAGTATTATTATACAACAGCATTGAGTAAGAAATGGAATCAGTTTAGAAAATTTTTATAGTAAGCTATTATGTTTAGTCGGCTAATTAGTCGACTAGACCGATTCTAATACCTAGTTTTGAGCTTACGGCGCATTTGTAAAATAACCCAAAATTTGAAAATTTGACTGCTAATACGTAAATGATAATTTTGGCCAAGATAGATGGGTTAGCATGTGGGAAAATGGGTTAGCCAATAATTTTATTTTTGGGGTTCAGTATTAGAAAATAAAGAATAAATTTGTCCCAAAACTTAAATTTAGAGACAAAAAAAAATAGTTAAATTTGACAAGCACACCGTAATAGGTATGTGAATTAAATACTTTAATTTAAAACAGATGTTAATATATTTAAAGAATTTTATTTCGTTTAGATCAAGTTTCGCATGTTCTAATTTATATAACAATTTTATATTTTAAACTAAATAATGCCTTATTCATAAGCATGAGTTACCTATTTATATATATATATATATATTTAACAATTGCAACCAAAAATTTGATTTCTAAAGCTATTATTTCCGAAATATGTACGTTATTATAAAACACCTAATGCTTCATTTGTCAAGTACTTTGTTTCTTCAGAAATAAGAAACATCCAGATGAATTGTTCTGAGAATTCTAAAGAATTTTCTGATCAACAGCTTACAGTAAAAAGGAATATTCTTACTTTTTTTTAGTAATAATCATCAGAATGGGGTTATTTCGGATAAATTTCCATAAGCACTTATTGGATGATTTTTTATTAGATAATAACAAATAGTCATATTTTCAGTACGCCCGCGGAATGTTTGGCTTTGAAGACTTGGGCTTTGATAAAATCATTAACCCACTACACCTCTAGAATATTTAAAAATAATAGAACTACATATGCGTGCTAACACTTTAATGTGTAACGGTAAGGACAATTTAACCAAAGGAGTCATATGTTATCGTTATCAAATAATGATGCAGGGAATTATTCCACTTTTGTGGAAAATTCCACAAACGTTTTCTAATTCACAACGTTGAGGAATTGATCATTGACAAAAATGTAACTTCTACCTAAATAGTGAAATTATTAAAATTGTTAATGATCAATTAATCAACGTAGAAAACATTTGTATTATTTCCACAATTGTGGAAATAATTCCCTATTATCAAACAGGTATATATGTACTGTACGTACGTACATACCACATACTATCTGAACCACACTTATATAATTCAGGATATACAGTATTACAGCCTAGTAGAGATACTGTAGTCTGTCTTGATTTGACTCTGGTTTAAAAGACAAACACCCAGGTACGTCGTACGACGTAGCAGACTGTGGACTAGACGTCCACTGAACCGTCCAGGGCCAGTCCAATGGGAATAAAAAATTCCAGGGTTCTCTAATGAACTATAGATCTTCGTTTAACAAACTTGGAATTATTTCTATTAATTTAGCTGATGCAATATGGCAAAACGTGTAATGAATAAATTAAATCATCTGCTATTTCTTGAGAAAAGTCTTTAAATTTCATGACTATTGCTAACCATAATTCCAAGATATTTATTAATGTGTAATTCAATTTCGGCTGCATGTTTCTATTGATAATTATAAAAAATTGTATAAAAATTTTCTTAGAGTTGTCTTTCGATAATTTTATATGACTTCACAATTAAAGAAAGTCGCATGATCAAATATAAATAACAGATTCATTGAATTTACAGACTTATTTGGTCTTAATTTATTGACTGGGTACCAATTGAACCGATTTAAAAGACTGGTTCAGATTGTGATCTTTGCTGGACCATAGCATCTCTACTTGCTGTCAAGGAAAAAATAAACTGTAAATTATTCCAGTGGCTAAAATAAAATAAAGGTCGGATTTTAGCTTTTAGCTATAATCATATTTAGAAAAGATTAAATAAAAAATAGTAATTAAAGGTGAGAAAAGAAGAATTTCAACTCACAAAATTTAAACATACGTATTTATTGTACCAAATTTTTTCGTAAGTTATCTACGTATAATTTAGGTTGTAAATATTTATAAACTAATGTTATGGGCTAAGCCAAAATATTTCATATTTGGGTTTAAAATGCACTTAGCTAACAATATCACTATACACTGGCAATCATAAGTAATGCAACACGTGATAATTTTTATAATAAAACATAGTAACTATTGAATTTTAACTCTAATAAAAAATTTTTAAAAATAATTATTTAAATCAGAAAAAATTTCATTAATTGTAGTTTCTAAAAAATATTTTTTCGGATTTTTTAAAAATTTTTATAAGTATTATTTATAAATTTTTTGCTATGGTTTTGACCTTAGAACAACTTTGGCATAAAAATTTTTAAAAAATCCGAAAAAATATTTTTTAGAAACTACAATTGATGTAATTTATTGTTATAAAAAAATTAGAGTGAAAATTCAATAGTTATAATGTTTTATTATAAAAATTATCACGTGCTGCATTACTTATGATTGCCAGTGTATGGTGACGCCAAGAAAAAACAAAATTTCAGTTCATTATTTATTATTTACTGGACTCAGCACTAACTAGTGACATTTATGATAAAAGATAGATTGATGAAGTTAATATAGAGATATTAAATGGCTTTTCCTCCCTCTGTACCAAGTTGATTAAAAAAAGATTTAAAGAAGATAATGCAGTGTTTATGCATACAAAGCACCTCTGC